ACCGGTGTAGTATGCTAATCGGTCCCCCATGCAAAAGTGTCCCCTTTGAGGCGATACGTATATGCCTTGTTGAAAAATCAAATACTCCTCGAAAGCATAGGGGAAAAATGCATGACGCTGGTCATGGCGGCACGGAATCGCGGGCGCAAATACTCCACATGGCTTCAATATATGCAGTAAAAACTTCAAAGTCAAAGTATAAAAGTTAATTGTTTTCCGAAATCTAGTAGACATACTGCTGGAAGAAACTTATAAAACAGAAATGCTTAATCAAGGTATATCAAGAAAGAACTTTTAATAATTATTTCAAAACAACAAACAAAATTGCAGGTAAATGTCGAAATATCTACATTTATATAAAATTACAATATTGAGATGAAACATTGTCGCGATAAAAAGGGTAACTTGCAGAAAAATCTAGATTTTGCTACAAAACGAAACTATTGACAAAGTAATTGCCAAGCATCAAGGTTTTTGCTGGTTATTACCATTTGTTGTGAATGTATTGCCTTTTCATGTAAAATGGAAGAAACTGACCGCTACTTTTGATTATTATGAATGTGACTTCGTGGTCCATAAGGAATATGAAAAGGCTGAATTGTCGCGAGAAAAAGGGTTACCTACAGAAAAATCTAGATTTTGCTACAAAACGAAACTATATCCCCTATGCTCTCCTCGAATTAAATTGCGTTCTGAAAGCGAGGCTATCAAGTTACCGTCACAGAGTTACCCTGAAGAACTAGCCTAAAGCAAAAAAGAAAGAACTTCAGGTAACACTTACCTTTGTGAACCTTTTAAATGAAAATTTTTGCAAAAAATCTTATAATTAAATAGAATTAAATTTTGCAATAAATCAAATAACAAAGTTTTTTAAAAGGGGAGAATTTTCATTCAGGTCCAGATTAGCCCGAATCAAAATCTTCCCACCCTGTAGAATAGGAATTGAATGCCCCCTTTCAAAATACTTGCTTCAATTTAATACATTACCTCAAGAGGCATTGTTTGTTACCCAAGTTTTAAATGTTTTCAAAGAAAATGAAGTTTTTTGAAAGTGGAGCATTTCAATTCAGGTCCAGATTAGCCTGAATGAAAATGTTCCCGCCCTGTAGAATAAGAATGGAATGCCCACTTTGGAAATACTTGCTTCAATTTATTACATTACCTCAAGGGACATTGTTTGTTACCCAAGTTTGAAATATTTTCAAAGAAAGTGAAGTTTTTTGAAAGGGGAGTATTTTCATCCAGATCCAGATTAACCCGAATGAAAATGTTTCCACCCTGTAGAACAAGTATGGAATGCCCCCTTTGGAAATACTTGATTAAATTTAATACATTACCTTAAGAGGCATTGTTTGTTACCAAGTTTTAAATGTTTTCAAAGAAAATGAAGTTTTTTGAAAGTGGAGCATTTCAATTCAGGTCCAGATTAGCCTGAATGAAAATGTTCCCGCCCTGTAGAATAAAAATGGAATGCCCACTTTGGAAATACTTGCTTCAATTTATTACATTACCTCAAGGGACATTGTTTGTTACCCAAGTTTGAAATATTTTCAAAGAAAGTGAAGTTTTTTGAAAGGGGAGTATTTTCATCCAGATCCAGATTAACCCGAATGAAAATGTTTCCACCCTGTAGGATAAGTATGGAATGCCCCCTTTGGAAATACTTGATTATATTTAATACATTACCTTAAGAGGTATTGTTTGTTACCAAGTTTTAAATGTTTTCAAAGAAAATGAAGTTTTTTGAAAGTGGAGCATTTCAATTCAGGTCCAGATTAGCCTGAATGAAAATGTTCCCGCCCTGTAGAATAAAAATGGAATGCCCACTTTGGAAATACTTGCTTCAATTTATTACATTACCTCAAGGGACATTGTTTGTTACCCAAGTTTGAAATATTTTCAAAGAAAGTGAAGTTTTTTGAAAGGGGAGTATTTTCATTCAGATCCAGATTAACCCGAATGAAAATGTTTCCACCCTGTAGAATAAGAATTGAATGCCCCCTTTGGAAATACTTGCTTCAATTTAATACATTACCTCAAGGGGCATTGTTTGTTAACCAAGTTTTAAATATTTTCATAGTAAGTGAAGTTTTTTGAAAGGGGAGCATTTCCATTCAGATCCAGATTAGCCCAAATGAAAATGTTCCCACCCTGTAGGATGAGTATGGAATGCCCCCTTTGGAAATACTTGATTAAATTTAATACATTACCTTAAGAGGCATTGTTTGTTACCCAAGTTTGAAATGTTTTCAAAGAAAGTGAAGTTTTTTGAAAGTGGAGCATGTAAATTCAGGTCCAGATTAGCCCGAATGATAATGTTCCCACCCTGTAGAATAGGTATGAAATGCCCTCTTTGGAAATACTTGATTAGCCTGAATGAAAATGTTCCTGCCCTGTAGAATAAGAATAGAATGCCCACTTTGGAAATACTTGCTTCAATTTATTACATTAGCTCGAGGGACATTGTTTGTTACCCAAGTTTGAAATATTTTCAAAGAAAGTGAAGTTTTTTGAAAGCGGAGCATTTTCATTCAGATCCAGATTAAACCGAATGAAAATGTTCCCACCCTGTAGAACAAGTATGGAATGCCCCCTTTGGAAATACTTGATTAAATTTAATACATTACCTCAAGGGGCATTGTTTGTTACCCAAGTTTGAAATATTTTGAAAGAAAGTGAAGTTTTTTGAAATGGGAGCATTTTCATTCAGGTCTAGATTACCTCAAATGAAAATGTTCCCACCCTGTAGAATAAGAATTGAATGCCCCCTTTGGAAATACTTGCTTCAATTTAATACATTACCTCAAGGGGCATTGTTTGTTAACCAAGTTTTAAATATTTTCATAGTAAGTGAAGTTTTTTGAAAGGGGAGCATTTCCATTCAGATCCAGATTAGCCCGAATGAAAATGTTCCCACCCTGTAGGATGAGTATGGAATGCCCCCTTTGGAAATACTTGATTAAATTTAATACATTACCTTAAGAGGCATTGTTTGTTACCCAAGTTTGAAATGTTTTCAAAGAAAGTGAAGTTTTTTGAAAGTGGAGCATGTAAATTCAGGTCCAGATTAGCCCGAATGATAATGTTCCCACCCTGTAGAATAGGTATGAAATGCCCCCTTTGGAAATACTTGATTAGCCTGAATGAAAATGTTCCCGCCCTGTAGAATAAGAATAGAATGCCCACTTTGGAAATACTTGCTTCAATTTACTACATTAGCTCGAGGGACATTGTTTGTTACCCAAGTTTGAAATATTTTCAAAGAAAGTGAAGTTTTTTGAAAGCGGAGCATTTTCATTCAGATCCAGATTAAACCGAATGAAAATGTTCCCACCCTGTAGAACAAGTATGGAATGCCCCCTTTGGAAATACTTGATTAAATTTAATACATTACCTCAAGGGGCATTGTTTGTTACCCAAGTTTGAAATATTTTGCAAGAAAGTGAAGTTTTTTGAAAGTGGAGCATTTTCATTCAGGTCTAGATTACCTCAAATGAAAATGTTCCCACCCTGTAGAATAAGAATTGAATGCCCTCTTTGGAAATACTTGATTAGCCTGAATGAAAATGTTCCTGCCCTGTAGAATAAGAATAGAATGCCCACTTTGGAAATACTTGCTTCAATTTATTACATTAGCTCGAGGGACATTGTTTGTTACCCAAGTTTGAAATATTTTCAAAGAAAGTGAAGTTTTTTGAAAGCGGAGCATTTTCATTCAGATCCAGATTAAACCGAATGAAAATGTTCCCACCCTGTAGAACAAGTATGGAATGCCCCCTTTGGAAATACTTGATTAAATTTAATACATTACCTCAAGGGGCATTGTTTGTTACCCAAGTTTGAAATATTTTGAAAGAAAGTGAAGTTTTTTGAAATGGGAGCATTTTCATTCAGGTCTAGATTACCTCAAATGAAAATGTTCCCACCCTGTAGAATAAGAATTGAATGCCCCCTTTGGAAATACTTGCTTCAATTTAATACATTACCTCAAGGGGCATTGTTTGTTAACCAAGTTTTAAATATTTTCATTGTAAGTGAAGTTTTTTGAAAGGGGAGCATTTCCATTCAGATCCAGATTAGCCCGAATGAAAATGTTCCCACCCTGTAGGATGAGTATGGAATGCCCCCTTTGGAAATACTTGATTAAATTTAATACATTACCTTAAGAGGCATTGTTTGTTACCCAAGTTTGAAATGTTTTCAAAGAAAGTGAAGTTTTTTGAAAGTGGAGCATGTAAATTCAGGTCCAGATTAGCCCGAATGATAATGTTCCCACCCTGTAGAATAGGTATGAAATGCCCCCTTTGGAAATACTTGATTAGCCTGAATGAAAATGTTCCCGCCCTGTAGAATAAGAATAGAATGCCCACTTTGGAAATACTTGCTTCAATTTACTACATTAGCTCGAGGGACATTGTTTGTTACCCAAGTTTGAAATATTTTCAAAGAAAGTGAAGTTTTTTGAAAGCGGAGCATTTTCATTCAGATCCAGATTAAACCGAATGAAAATGTTCCCACCCTGTAGAACAAGTATGGAATGCCCCCTTTGGAAATACTTGATTAAATTTAATACATTACCTCAAGGGGCATTGTTTGTTACCCAAGTTTGAAATATTCTCAAAGAAAGTGAAGTTTTTTAAAAGGGGATCATTTTCATTCAGGTCCAGATTACCTCAAATGAAAATGTTCCCACCCTGTAGAATAAGAATTGAATGCCCCCTTTGGAAATACTTGCTTCAATTTAATTCATTACCTCAAGGGGCATTGTTTGTTAACCAAGTTTGAAATATTTTCATAGGAAGTGAAGTTTTTTGAAAGGGGAGCATTTCCATTCAGATCCAGATTAGCCCGAATGAAAATGTTCCCACCCTGTAGGATGAGTATGGAATGCCCCCTTTGGAAATACTTGCTTCAATTTAATACATTACCTCAAGGGGCATTGTTGGTTAACCAAGTTTGAAATCTTTTCATAGTAAATGAAGTTTTTTGAAATGGGAGCATTTCAATTCAGGTCCAGATTAGCCCGAATGAAAATGTTCCCATGCTGTAGAATAAGTATGAATTGCCCACTTTGGAAATACTTGATTAAATTTAATACATTACCTTAAGAGGCATTGTTTGTTACCCAAGTTTTAAATGTTTTCAAAGAAAATGAAGTTTTTTGAAAGTGGAGCATTTCAATTCAGGTCCATATAAGCCCGAATGAAAATGTTCCCACCCTGTAGAATAAGTATGAAATGCCCCCTTTGGAAATATTTGATTAAATTTGAAACATTACCTTGACAGGCATTGTTTCTTACGCAAGTTTTAAATGTTTTCAAAGAAAGTGAAGTTTTTTGAAAGGGGAGCATTTCCATTCAGATCCAGATTAGCCCGAATGAAAATGTTCCCACCCTGTAGGATAAGTATGGAATAACCCCTTTGGAAATACTTGATTAAATTTAATACATTACCTTAAGGGGCATTGTTTGACACCTAAGTTTGAAATATTTTCAAAGAAAGTGAAGTTTTTTGAAAGGGGAGCATTTTCATTCAGGTAAGGAAGAGCCCAAATGAAAATGGTCCCACCCTGTAGAATAAGAATTGAATGCCCCTTTTGGAAATACTTGCTTCAATTTAATACATTACCTCAAGGGGCATTGTTTGTTAACCAAGTTTGAAATATTTTCATAGGAAGTGAAGTTTTTTGAAAGGGGAGCATTTCCATTCAGATCCAGATTAGCCCGAATGAAAATGTTCCCACCCTGTAGGATGAGTATGGAATGCCCCC